AGATACTCGATCCAGCCATCTTACATCAACGTCTCGGACATCCTTCTCCATCTACGTTACATACTTTTTATGCTTATTTTCCTTCAACTAAGAGGCTTATGCCTAGTTTTCATTGCTCTGCCTGCGTGCGAGCGAAGGATCATCGTTTACCCTTTTCTAAATATGTGTATAAAACTACTAGTGCTTTAGACTTAATACATTGTGTGATGTATGGGGTCCTTCCCCAATTTTATCTCTTCAAGGTTACAAATATTATCTTCTCTTTGTTGATGACTATACGCATTTTACATGGGTGTATCCTCTTCATACTAAGACTGCCACATTTGCTACATTTCTTAACTTTAAATCTAAAATAGAAAAACAACTTAATCGGCCAATCAAGATTTTTCGCACTGATGGCGGTGGCGAGTTCATTAACAAAAACTTTAGTGCCTTTCTATCTCGCTGCGGTATTGTTCATCAGGTAACCTGCCCCTACACCCCGCAACAAAATGGTGTTGCCGAACGGAAGCATGGACATCTCATTGAAATCGTCCGTGCACTCCTTTTTCACACTAACCTTCCAACTCATTTTTGGGTTGAAGCTCTTCTTACAGCAGCTCACACCATAAACCGTCTGCCATCCAAAACTTTTAGGAACAAGTCACCCTATGAACTACTGTTCAGTTCTCCTCCTGACTACAGTCACTTGAAGGTCTTCGGTTGTCTTTGTTACCCTTGGACTCCTACTCAATTGCATCATAAGTTTCAACCTCACTCCCTGCCCTGCTTGTTTCTTGTCTACGCCGAAGACACAAAAGGTTATATATGCTTCAACACCGCCACCGGTCACACTCATTTATCTCGTCATGTAAAATTTTTTAAATCCATCTTTCCCTCACAAACGACCCCTCCAATTCCTACTACATCATCCACTCCGTTACAGAATATTCCACCCTCTTTACTTGTCCCGGCTACCCATACAACTAGCTCACTCAATCAAATTCCCTCATCCTCTGTTCCAGATTCTACACAACATTACACTCAAGATACTCCACCTATCTCTCACAACAGCTCCCCTATCTCAAACTCTTCCTCCTCTGAATCTCTACCAATTCAACCAATTCCTGCTACATCCAAACACCCTATGACTACTCAGTTTCGTTCTGGACTTCTTCAACCCAAGAAAATATTTGATCTACAAAACTTAATTGTTCCCACCAATCCTTCTTGCTACTCTGAAGCTGTGAAGCATTCGGTTTGGAGGAAAGGCATGTCCCTCGAATTTGAGGCATTGCAACAACAAGGGACTTGGGTCCTAGTCCCCTCTTCACCTGATCTCAATGTCCTTGGTAATAAATGGATTTTTCTCACCAAACATAATGCTGATGGTTCCTTAGCTCGTCTGGTAGCAAAAGGATTTCATCAAGAATTTGGGATTGACTACTTTGATACATTTAGTCCTGTTGCTAAATTCCCAACGATCAGGATCTTATTCACTGTGGCGACATCTCGGCATTGGCCCATCTTGCAACTTGATGTATCTAACGCCTTTTTTGCGTAGCAACCTTGAGGAAACGACATACATGAAACAACCTCAAGGCTTTGTCGATCCAAAATTTCCGGATCATGTCGTCTGCTTGCTGAAAAAGGCCCTCTATGGTCTAAAGCAGGCACCTCGTCAGTGGTTTGCCAGCTTCACAACTTTTCTAACTGATTTCGGTTTTCATGTAAGTACAGCTAATCCCTCCTTGCTCTTGTTCTCAAAAGGCTCAACACAGCTGTACATACTAGTTTATGTGGATGATATCCTCCTTACCGGCAATGACAACTCTGCTCTTCAATCTCTCCTTGCGGCTTTACACTCCAGGTTTCATATGCGAAATCTCGGCTCTGTATCCAACTTCCTTGGGATTCATGTGATTCTGATTCCGTCAGGTTTACATATCTCTCAAACACTCTATGCTGAAACACTGTTAACCAAAGCGGGCATGAAGGATTGCAAACCAGTTCAAACACCTCTTCCCACAAAATTGCCACAACTCACAGCCAGTGCAGAATTGTTTTCCAAGCCTGAACTATATCGGCAACTCGTTGGTTCGTTAAAGTATCTCACCATAACCAGACCCGACATGTCCTTTGCCATCAATTTTCTCTGCCAGCATATGCATAATCCTCATGTGCTTCACTTTCAGCTTCTAAAGCGTGTGCTTCGTTATCTTCGGGGCACCATTAATTTTGGATTGCCAATTCTCTCCTTTTCTCTTGAGCTACAAGCCTTTTCGGACTCAGACTGGGCATCCGACTCTACAACTAGAAGATCTGTCACTGGTTATTGTGCTTACCTTGGACACAACCTTGTCTCATGGTGTGTCAAAAAGCAAACTACAGTTGCTCGCTCCTCCACCGAAGCTGAATATAGAGCCTTAGCCACTGCAGCCAGTGACGTTATCTGGCTTCGCCGATTACTTACAGCATTTCATGTTGAGACATTGCCTCCCACACCTCTCTTTTCTGACAATGTCTCCGCCATCGCATTAGTAAACAACCCTGTGTTTCATGCTCGAACGAAACACATCGAGGTTGATTTTCACTACATTCATGACTGCATCAAGTTAAAGAACATAGCCGTGCATCACATTGCCTCCGTCGATCAAGCTGCTGATATCTTCACTAAGGCTCTTCCTGCTACCTGATTCTGATCTCTCTGCAACAAGTTAACACTTCAAGAGAACACTGTTAACTTGCGGGGAGGTGATAAATGATACGCAAACTTGATAGGTTGGCTTGCCTATCCACTACCTCAAACGGCTACAGCAGCTTTTACAGAGCTAGATCAATGGTGTTCGTTGATGCTCTGGCTCTACTTTAATCTCAGCCATTTCTTTTCAACTACCACTGTCATCTTCCTCCTACAAATATCATTTACTGTAGCTCAAAATATGAGAGGAATACAAATGGCTTTACTCCATATGATTTCCATTTACTCTGTTCTCTGCTATGCTCTATAACTCTTCAATGCAGGTTCTCGCACTAGAAGACGATGAACTTCTTCAGAGTACTGGTCTCAATTTCCGACCTTTTTAAAAAATCGGGTCGAGTTTGGGTTTACTCGAAAACCCGAGCATGACCCTGGTTCAACCCAAGAATTCTTGTCATCCACACTCTCCCAATGTGACACTAACGCGAGTCGACGGATCAACCGAACCTGACGATCTTTCCACCTGCCTCTCCCGCTATCACACTGCCCAGCTGTCACGCGGCTTCGCTGTCACGCGACCTCGCTGTCGCACAGACTCGCTGTCCCGCGACCCACCATCACGCGGCCCCACTATAATGAGGCTTCGCCAGTCGCTATCTTCTTCTCTCGCCATCCTATTTCGTGTTGATTCAGGTCAACCCGAAAACTCAACGCGTCGAGTCCGAGTCGGGTCATGTCAAATCGCGCCGGGTTAGTTCCATATTCTACTCGAATTTGACCCACAATCTGATTTTGACACCCATAATCGAGCATATTTTTCCCTGACACTAATCTTCTGTGTTCTTTTCTAGAAGCAATATTCCATTCTTAGTCGGGAATCATTTTTTGAACCGTAACCATCAAAGGCCAATCAACTTCAACTCATTTCAACTGTTCGTTACGAGGGGAAGAAAAACTCTCAAATAGAACTTAGTTTTTCTATACGAATTTTTAATGACTGATCATTATCTCCTTCATCAATGTAACGGTTTTGGATATTATTATAATAGTGAAAGAGAAAATTATTAAAATGAACTCTGACTCTCTATAAATATTAAAGTTGTCGTGGATTAATTAAAAATCTCATTTTTAATCTTTTGGCTCTTTAAATAGGTGATTAGCTATATAAATGATTTCACGAAAAGACTAATTTTAATACTATTTAAAAAGTTAGAGGATCAAATTAATACTTTTATATAGTCGAAGACTATTTTGATCCTTCAAAAAATTAGGAGACCAATATGTCCATTTTCTCAGTAGTGAAAAATCAATCAAGAAATATGCTTATAAGAGAATTTTATACCCATAAGTGTTGTTTGATATTGGATTGGATTTAACTTTAGTGGTATTTAGTAAATCTTGTAAATTCAAATTTAGTAAATTTTGAGGCTGTTAAATTATGAAAAATTATTTGGTATGATAAATGTTAAATCTTGTTAAATGCTGAGAAAATATTTGACTACAAATTTCAGGATTTAAGATAATTAGAGATTTAAATATGAAATTAAAGTAGTTATAATTAGATTTAATTAATAATTATATGATTAATTATTTCATTAATCACTTAAATATTCTACTACTAATTAATTATTTATAATGTTGATAGATAATAATTATTTGTATTTTAAAATATATTAATTAAATCTTGTATTTATTTTTTATTATTATACTACTAATTATTTAACTAAACTAAATTAGAGTATGTAATTATACTATTAATGATAATTCTAATTAATTATTGATGCTTAAATTGCTTTTAAAAAAATACTAAGTTAGATTAATTTCAATTAGAGCTGGTGTAGGTTTTCTTCCTCTTCTCCAGTTCCTCGTTCTGTTGCTTTTCCTCGTCGTCGTTTCTTCTTAGCTCTTCGTTACTATTGCTTTTCCTCATCGCCATTTCTTTGAACACTAGCTCGCACGATTGCGGCCAAAGAAGCAGAGCCGGTGCAGGAAAACGGCCGGCTGAGCGAGGACGAACACAAATCAGAGAGGTTAGGGCTGCGAAGGTAGCGATATTTCTTCCCCTTTCGCGTGCTTCTTCTGCTAAATCAAACTTTGTAAATCCGTAAATCCACCTCTCGATCAAATTTAGATTTAGGCGGATTTATGCAGATTAACGTCGTATATCCATAAATCCCGGATTTACGCAAGCTTCGGATTTAGATGACCTCCAAAAACTGTTTGGCTGGACCTGCTTAAATTCAGGCGCAAATCTGATACCAAAGAGCCTCTTACGTTGAAAATGATTTCTAAAAAATATTAGCTTAGATCTTATCAGCACTTCAAGGGGAAAAAAAAGTGAATTAATGCCATAGATTTATCACAATAGACGAATGAGAATCAAATCATTATATTTTCAGCACAGAATTCTAATTCCCAAGAGTTTAGAACTTCTAAATTTGCATAAAACCCTCTCTATCTTTATCCACAATACACCAACAATCAGCTTATTTTTATTACATCCTAAATGCTTTCAGAAGGCCTCAGGTAAGCAGTCCACAAGTCCTGAAAGTCCATCTCTCTGCTCTACCCTCTGCTCTCCATAAGCTCCTCCCCTTCCTTCTTCACTTTGCCGTCACTGAGAACGAACCCAGGCGGAAAATTGAGCAAGGCCTTCGCTCCGCGCATTCGAAAAGCCGCACGGTCATAAGCCACCGCCGCCTCCTCCGCCGTATCGAAAGTGCCGAGCCATACTCGTGCCCCGTGGCGCGACGAATCTCGAATCTCCGCAGCGAATTTTCCCCATGGTCGTCGCCGCACGCCTCGATAATGCCTTGTGGCCAATTCGCCGCCCGATTCAGCCCCCCTTTTGGCTGTCGGTGGAGACATGGGAGAAGCAACAGCCATGGTGGAGGCCTCTGTGAGGACCTGTAAGAGGATCATATCCTGAGAATCATTCTCGTTGAGTGGGAGAAATTGGGAAGGATTAGCTGAAGTTTGTTGGCGGGAGAAAGCCATTCTTCAACGTCTCTTTTTTTTCAGTGTTGAGCTTTAGGCTTATATTTATTTTATACCGTTATAAATTAAACGAAACTGTGACTGTTATTTTTTTCTTTTAGTATAAACCCTTGGTTACTACATATCTACGAAAAAACCACATGGTTTGTATTGTAGTTTTGACCAATATGGAGGGTTTTCATTGGTAAGAAACTTGGCTTGACCCAAAGCTTCTAGGTCCTCTGGTGGGCACGTGATGATGCCGTAAGCGATGAGCTCGCCAAATTTGAACGGGGTCCGTGGGCCATGCGCCAGGTGGGATTGAAAAGAAATAATCAGATGAAGTTACTTCTCCACGTGGACTATGAAGTTTTAAAATCGGACCGTTGAGTATGATATGGACGGATTCCAACGGTTGTGATTGATGGTGTTGAATGGTTGTCCTCCATCCAATAATAGTTGGGAGAAGTAGGAGACCGGAAATGCGGTCTCAGAAGCATTTGGTGACCGGGAGTTTGGCGCGGTGCGGTGCGGTCAACGGCGACGACTCGTCTTGTCGTCCATCGTGCGTTTTAGTGTATGAGGAGTAGCTTGGGCTGTTCATGCATGATTTATATACGCTTATTGAATAAAAGTTTAAAAAATAGGTATATTTGAACTTCAATAAATAACGTAAATCTTGTTTACTCAATTGTTAGTTTTTATTTAATTAAACTTCTAAAACCATTTATGTATAATGATAAGTGTATGTGCTTAAACGAAACGACTTTTTTGTTAGAACTGTGTGGAATTTCATTGTGCTGATCATTTGAGTTGTTTTGTTATCTCAATCCTCTGTTTAAATTATCGTGCTCATTGAGGGCTACCCCTGTTTGGGTTCGGGTGCTTTGTACCCGAATTATTTTTTCTGTACAAAGCCTCGACGATGTGTACTCGAGGGCCCCAGTGCTATGTTCGCAAGCATGGCCAACGCTCTAGATTATGCACCGTAGTGCTATGTGACGTCACCTCGCTCTAGTTTTGAGCGCCACAACATCATGTTGACAAAGGCTTGAGAGCCGCAATGCATCGAGGCGGATTAGACAGTTTTCTTTCTTATTTTTCTTTAAGCATGCGTCCTTTGGTACATAGTTATTACTCTCTCTTGTGTTATTTGAAAGTGAATAGTATGAGAACAACGTAAAAGATAAGAGAAAGAAGAGTGAGAGAGAATAGAGATTTGTATTTATTTCTCTCAATTTCATGGTGGATTTTTTTGTGTGGTGTGGCTCCGTGATTTTTTCCATATTTCAGGTTTTTCCATGTTAAATCCTAGTGTTCATACTTTTCGTTGCTTTTACTTTCTTGTTTGTTTTCATCATGTGATTTGCTTTCATCCCCAATATTTCTTCCTATTTTTTAAAGCATCTTTTAACTACAAAAGATTTTATTTCAAAATTCTTTTATCAAATATTATTTTATTTTGAAAATAGTTTTGACGGTGGAGAGAAATTTTATCAGTTTAGCATTATAAAGAGATTCAAACAAACATAAATAATAGAGTTTCACAAAAGACAATATAGTTTGTATTCAAAAAGGAAAAAAAATATACTTAGCCCCGCCCAATTGAGGTAGCCCTTTATCTGAATTACAAAAGTTTGTTCTTCTACTTAATTGAAGATGATATTACAAAGTTATTGTCAAAAATACTGTAACTTAGTCTTCAGTGATTGTCGTAGAGGTTACTGAAACATATGGAGAGTTGTGATAGTCGTACAATGACAACTGAACAATGACCCACACAAATAATGTTGTTCGAGTGATGATAATTGGATAATGACAGTCATGCAACGATCGTACAAAGATCGTCGAGCGATAATCGTTGATTGATGAATATTTTGGTGATATTAAACATATAATCGGCCAGGTTTGTCTCAAGCTCAATAAGAACTAATAACAAGTAAAATTTTAAACTATGGGTCATATTCAAGCTCAACAAGAAAATAAACAACTAAACTTGAACAAAATAAACAATTGACTGCTATCTTGTTTAATTGAAGATATCATGATCGTAAGTCATCCAAATCCTCTTTCATTGCATGTGAGCCTTAATGGAAGATACAAGGGAAAGTTACCCGCCATGATTTTAAAACAATATGGAAGAAGTGGGATTACATTACTCATTAATTTCTTTCTTTATTGCTCCACTCTTAATTTAAGATGATTATGTCTCATTATTTCTTTTCTTATTAGTATAATAAAAATTAAAATTGGAATTTTTTTCAAATCTAAGTGAATTATGATTATATTTTTATGTTTATTCTTTGATGATAATGATCGTATAGGCAAAACACGTTAAAAATATTATTGTACTAAAAAATCAAATTTCTATCCTAAAAAAATCAGATTTATGCTACATTATATTGGCCTACTCCGCATGGAAGTATGTGCTTATAGTTGGTTGGCATAACATTGCTTTCATGATATTGTAGGGAAAGAATAAAACGGAAGAGCATGTAGAAAATTAGGGAAAGATATATAAAGAAAATAAAGGTATTGAAAGTAAACCAAGACAGCTAAACTTTAATTCACACAAGAAAATGTGGCATGGATTTATTGTGATTTGGACATCATGTTATGATATACGTCTAGTGTTGCAAGGATGATAAGGACATCATTTTTACTTTAAAAAATGCAAACAATGTTAGATTCAAAATTGTTTAATTAATAGGTCAATTGTAAGTAAGAGCTAAAACACTATGTGAGATTTAAGTGAGAAGGAAAAAGAAAGAGAGAGAGCTCTAGTTTAACACTTCTCCTCAGAAGTACTAACCAACTATACAGCATACCTAGAAAGAGTAATAAATTATGTCTCATGTTGTATCACTTAACATATTTCCCTTAATCAACTTTAGAAAAGAGCTCTATAATTGTCTCCTAGCAGGCAGAAACCAAGTCTTGAAAGTCTCTATAAACTCATCCAAAGTAATTAGAGTATTTGCACAACCCTGAAACTTCTCCTGCTGGCCAAGCCACCAATGCTCTGCCTCACCATCTAACATAAATGCAACTAATCCTCTCAGGAGAATAATGCATCTCATCCAGAGTCTTCTCCATTCTCATTAGTCAATCCTCAACTGCTCTAGACTCAATAACACCTAAAAATTTAGGAGGCTAATAAGTTGTAATCTCATGAAATGTTGTAAATATCTGTCAATATCATCAAATCAGGCACCAGAAACCCGTGTATAAATCTTACCTATCATCTATGATACCAAACCTGTAATATAAGAAACTACCTCAGAATTGATCATAGAAGTTGTACCCAGAATTTGAGCTGACTGACTAGAGCTTTTACCATTGGTCATATTCGGATCTGGTTGAGGTGGATTAGCCATCTCAAAACACTAGATACAGTTGAATGCAACACATGCATATGACAAATAAGTTTCAGTACTTCTCCAACTGGATATTGAGATTGGTCTTGTCATAATCAAATACGGTATGACTTATATAGTTTACGGTCATATCATGTAGGATTATGACAAGCATTTTTTATATCATAGTAAGGTTGGAGAATCAAATCATAACAGAGCCATATGATTTAATTTGTAGAAGATTGAGATGGGAGAGAAATGTAGAGCCATTTTTATTCTTTAGTCTAGTTGAAAATTTTGTTCGTCTCAAGGTATGTTACATTTTATCTATTTCATTTTTTAATAATTTGATATTCTTAGAATTTTTTCGATCAATTTATATTTCTGCTACCGAAAATGAGGATGACTTTGTTCGTTAAAACTTTCACTTTAACTTTTTATATATTATAAAAATTGATATTATGAATATTTTGAGTATATTCTGATATTTTTTGCTGGGTGATTTTGAATAAGAAGATATTTTGCTTATTTGAATTTTATTTTGACACCTAATTTTTTTTAAATGTCATGAAAATTAAGATTATGAACTTTTTGACTATATTCTAAAAATTTTCACTATGTGCTTTTAATAAGCAATGATTTTTGCCTATTCAAAATTTTATTTTGACATATAAAAATAATATTTTAGTTCGGTTAAAGCTTCAGAATGAGGTTTTACACAATCTCTATTATTTGATTATGTTTTGAAATTATGAATTTTTGCTTAGTAGTATTTTTGCTTACTGTTAAGGCATCTTAATAATTTTTGAATTTAGTCAAATTATTCTTTAATTTAATAAATGCATCACAAAATGTAAAAGAAATATGATGTAATGTGACGTGATGTGATATGATGTTATGCATGTACCATTGAGCAATCGGGGTGATATTCTATTATGTCAGCTCCAGTGGGCGATCGAGATGCGATTATGTTATGCTGATGCTAGTGGATGATCGAGGTGGAATTATGTTGTATATGCCGGGGCATGTAGGCTACCAAGGTCAAATTATGTTAATGAAACTTTAAAGATATATAAAAATTTGGGTTAAGAGTCATCTTGATAAAATGAATATCTACTTATAATTCATTTGATTTCAGTTTCAGCTTTTGATATAGTTTCAATCCTAGTTTTTCATACAATACTTTTACTTTTACAACATATTATTTTTCATTCTTTTTGTTCAATTATTATTTTCTATTTTAAGCTGCGATAGCCTGCTGAGTCGTATTAGTTTATTTATTTATTTTTTTGCTTCTATTTTCAAGCCAGGGGGAAGGATAAGAAGCAATCTGAGTAGTTTTGCATAACATACTCTAATCTATAACGTATATATATAAGTGAGAGGGTGTAGCATTCATAAGAGACACCATAGTTTTTACGTGGAAAACCCCTGAAAAGTGGGAAAAATCACGGGTCCTGGCCTAATTTGAATGAACCAACTATTATTTGCAGTCGATTACAAATGAAGCCCTTCTTAGGGAGAAGGCCTTGGCTTGATGTCACAAATGTACATCATATAGAGTGCATTACATGGTGGGAGTTACAATAATCAACATAAATGTGTTTGTTTTGACGGCACAACCATAGTTGATAGGATAAAGATCGGAAAGACCATTGTCTGGTGATGGAGGTCGGAAGGACCGTAATAGGAGACGGAGGTCGGAAGGACCGTAGTTGGCAAGAGACCGGGTTAGAAAGGCTGTTGTCTGGTGATGGAGGCTGGAAGGACAGTAATAAGCGACGGAGGTCGGAAGGACCGTAGTTGGTAGGAGACCGGGGTTAGAAAGACTGTTGTCTGGTGATGGAGGTCGGAAGGATCATAATAGGCGACGAAGTTCAGAACGACCGTAGTCGGCAGGAGACCGTGGTCTGAAAGATCGTAGTGGAAGGGCGGTACTTCGGGAGAACTCTTGACGTCAAGTGGTGGTCTGGCAGAAGTTCGGGCCTCAAGTGGTGATCCAGCGGAGCAACTACGTCAGGCGGTGGTTCGGCTAAGATAAAGGCCTCAAGTTATGGTCCGGCGGAGTAACAACATCAGGCGGTGGTCTGACGGAGGTGAGGGCCTCAAGTGGTGGTCCGGCGGAGCAACTGTGTCAAGCGTTAGCCCGACAGAGGTGAGGGCCTCAAGTGGTGGTTCGGTGGAGCAACGACGTCAGGCGGTGGTCCGGCAGAGGTAAGGGCCTCAAGTGATGGTCCGGCGGAGCAACAACGTCAAGCGGTGGTCCGGCGGAGGTGAGGGCCTCAAGTGGTGGTCAAGCAGAGCAACGACGTCAAGCGGTGGTCCAGCGGAGGTGAGGGCCTCAAGTGGTGGTTCGGCGGAGAACTGGCGTCAGGAAGTGGTCCGGCGGAGGTGAGGGCCTCAAGTGGTGGTCCGACGGAGAATAACATCAGGCGGTGGTCCGACGGAGGTGAGGGCCTCAAGTGGTGGTCAGGTGGAGCAATAGTGTCAGGCGATGGTCCGATGGAGGTGAGGGTCTCAAGTGGTGGTCCGGCGGAGCAACGAGGTCAGGCGGTGGTCTGACGGAGGTGAGGGTCTCATGTGGTGGTCCGGCGGAGCAACGGCGTCAGTCGGTGGTCCGGTGGAGGTGAGGGTCTCAAGTGGTGGTCCGGCGGAGCAACGACATCAGGCAGTGGTCCGGCGGAGGTGAAGGCCTCAAGTAGTGGTCCGGTGGTGGTTGAGGAGGAGCGTCTTAATTCCTTCTCTCCCTTCTCTTCTTCTCTTATTCTCTTCTTGGTTGGATCCCCCTCAAGAGAAATGAGGGGTCTATTTATAGATTTTTTGGAGTGGCATGACCCATAAATAGGTGAGAGATCAAGGGCAAATGAGGAGTGGTTGGATATGTGACAACCCATATATCAATAGTGAAAGGATTCATCTGACATTCATTTTTTTTTTCTTTCTTTTCGTTCAGATCAATACAAACATCCAGAGATAATTGCATTAAAGAAAAGAAATACATCAACTACTATAGTTCACATTTCAACATATATACAGTCAAAAGGAGCGTCCAAAAGAATATGCACAATAGCCATTCGGCTACAAAATAAATGCCTGCCAAAGGCGACAAAAATATAAAATTATACTAGTGACCGAAGAAGCTTCACGCGGGAGGCTCTGCACCTGAAATCATTAACCACATATAATGAGCTTAAATAGCCCAGCAGGTCACCAAAGCCTACAACTGAAATCAAAGCACGATAGAAGCAATATGCATGTCAATCAAATCAAGTCAAATCAATCAGTCGCACATGATCAATGAGTCGATGCAGATACGGGAATTAATACAAAATAGAAATAAATAAAATCAGTGAACAGTAGGTAATCCATAAAGCTCAAGAAATCAATGCGTACATCAAATCTCTACTGTATCTATCATAGCAATCGATAACATCAGTTACATCAATATAGTTGTCTAGCCATCTTATCTATCGTATCAGTTTATAACATCAGTCAAATCAATAGAGTAGAATCATATCAGAACATACACTTACAAATCGATCAGTTGTTCAATATCACTTACTCCCTGTCAGTACGACAGTGTATGTATCCATATCCACAACGAGAACAATCCAATGACGACAACGAACGATGCTACAACAGTGAAATCGCATCAATCAAATCAGTAAAGCAATTACTTCCCGTCAATAATATCAATCGGCATAGAATCCCATAAAACAATCAAATCAATACATCGTAAGAGCAATTGAAATTAAATCAATATAATCGGCAAATACAATTGAAAGCAATCGATGCAATAAAATCATATACAACAATCAAATCAATAAATCAATAAGCAATCAACCCAAATCAATCAATCAATGATCGGTACTAGGAATCAATGAATAGTATCGGTATCAATATCTGTAGTATCAATAGTATCCATGAATCAATGAATCCATAATATCGATGAATCAATAATATCGGTATCTGTATCCATGAATCAATACAATATCCATATCCATATCGGTGTCGATATCCATGAATCGATACAATATCCATATCTATACAGTATCTATAACAGTAGCAATGCGCAATGACAGAATATAAATATCAATGAAATCGTACGATAACAGTAAGTCCGTAAATCCGTCAGTAAATCCATTCAGTAATAAATTGATTCAATACAATAAATCCGTCGATATCAATCATGCGTAGGGTAATCAATAAATCAATCAGAAATCAATAGATCAACTCATTTATATCAGGAAATCCATACCAGTCAATGTCAATAAAATCCATAATGAAATCAATAGATCAATACCGTACATATGCAATACAATACAATAGTCTTACTGAACAAGTACAATCACTGGCT